ATATAAGTCTTATAAACCAACAGTGAAGCATTTCATCATTTCAAAGTCATAACACAGCAATACATAAGAAGTTATATATTCAAATACTCACTGTTTATGGTGAATGTTTGTCAGTGTTCTCAGCTGTCACCGTAGATGGGCTAACAAGGACCTGCACTCAAACCATACATGTCATTTACTAGAAGTCTGTTGTCTTAACTGCATCTCGAACAAACAAGCTTAGTTGAGGTGATGCAAATATTATTTCTTTCTCTGTTTTGACTAGGTTTATCTTACACTGCTTACAGCCGTTAGAATGATTAAATTTTATCTATTAACAACATCAGAATGAATATGTAAAATTCTGTAGATCACAATAATAATTCGAAAGTTAAAAGTTAATTTGTCGTTATAATAATCAGTCCGTTGAGGAGGAAAAATGTTGCAGGTGCAGAGCTTCTTTGTATTAAAATTGTGTGTTTTTGTTTTATAGATTAATGCAAATCAACAATGAGTCCATTGATTAAACGAGTAAATAAAAAAAGAGGACAAGGGCAAATTAGCTGGTAATCTGTTTTCAATTACACCAGTGAACTATATTTACAGAAAGTTCTTTTTTTAGTGTTAAGCAGAGAACATTAAAGGGTGAAACAATTCACTTTAATTGCGATATTGCGTGCTCTGCTCGTTAACATTTCCTGATGTACAATGTTCAAATTCTCGCGTTTAGAATACTTCCAACGCTCAGAATGCCCAGAGAGAAATGAGACAAAACTGCAAGTATTTTAAATTCCTCAAACGCTCCATTGAGAAAATGCTTCAATGGCCGAACAAAGCCTATTGCAATCAAGACCATTCTGTTTTCATCCTGTATCTTGCTCTCAGCTCTCCGTATTATAAGTTTAGAAAGAAATTAATCTTGTCCTATAATAAATAAGTGAAAACAAAACGCACCTACCTTCACTTCCAGGTCTTCCAGGCCGCTGAAGTGAACATCTGAGAGTGTAAGAACGTGGTATTCAGTGGGAATAAAATGTCGTCCTCTGAAAACAAGATTCGTGTATTTTGCTGTTATCCATGTGCGATTCGTGACCATGACGAGCTCGCCTAGCGAACTCGAGTTTCCGGTGCTATTTATCAAAGTCCCAGACAACTCAGTGTGTATATAAACAAGTATAAGTAGTTAAGCAGTTTAGTAAACAATCCATTTTGCTGGGTGGTGGAGTATCAAAAATGTGTTCATCAGAGCTTATCTCAAAGGAAAGGAATGAATGACATAATAAACCGCCAGCAATTAAACTATTAGGTATGTCTTTCATATGGTAAATCGAAAGTCCTAAGTCATTGTAAATGAATTTTTCATTATGTGTTAGATAGCGTCAGCTGTGTGATTTAGTTTGAACTGACGAATAAGGAGTTTTTAGTGAATTACGTAATAGAAACTGAACATATTGAGAATCGCTTGCAGTGCCGTCAGACGAATTGCTTTTCCATTTAGATTTATCACCAAAAAGCAGACGGGTCAGTGTACTTTGCGGTGGTTTATGTTATTTTAATCTCCTTGAGGGATGCTTACTCGGAAAACCACGAAAACAACAACAAACAAACCAAAACCTAATCTCTTTAAGCTCAAACACAACGTCAGTTGGACTTGTCAGCACGATCACATTACTTGCTGTTTATATCTCGAGCAAGATCAAAGTAAGACAACTGGAGTACTTTTTTCCTACACTTTGGAAAAAAGACCATTTAGGTGCTTCTTGTCCTAGTGGGCGGACTGGTTGGTCATCTCCATGATTCGAGGTCATGATCTGAGAGAGATTCACGGTCTGGTTCGGCGCATGCGATCAAAGCATTAAAGGTTGTGCATATGTTTAGTTCTTGACCCTGGTTTGAGTGGAGCTAGAGAATATCTTGGAAAATAAACAGAGCATGTCGAACTGTGCGGACGCCAAATAATTGCTTGAGGTTTGCAGGGTCAGTGGTTTCAGCCGGTCGGATGTTTAAACCTGTACCGACCTGTTCGCGCCAATGAAGCAGATCTGGGATGGTAATCTAGGGGCACACGTTTCACCAAAGCGGGGTCCTACATTCTAGGAGGGTATTGGTGTGTGTTCCCCTTTAAAATGATGAAATATCTGGTTCTCGAAGTCGTACTTTCAGGGCTTAAAACAAGCAGCTCTCAAATTTTGCTAGCTGAGGGCAAGACTTAGTTTACCTTTTTTAAAATTTAGTCGGCAGCCGGACAAATTGTCTGGGCGCTTGACCATCAGGAAAGTTTAAATGAAAGTGAGTTACCTGCCCGGTAGGAAAATCTTCCTGTGTCAGACGACCGGACGGCACTTTTTTCAAGCTGTGACTTTTCAGTCATATCTTGAGAACTCGAAAAACGACTTTGAAAACCTTTGTAATAATGAAGAATGAACAAGGACTAAAATCTGTTCCATTTCCGATTTGATCACTAGTACTGGTACTGTACTCGGTAATCTCGAGTTCAGCTTCTCGGTCACGTTTGTAAATAGCCAACTGGTGTGCCTCCTGCCAGTTGGGATTTAAACCATGTTATGATCATTTACATTATTGTTTCATCGTTTGTTTCCTTTTGCTCTGAAAATCCCCACATACATTATGCTAGAACATTTGAACAGTCACCCTCAAACAAGAGCATTATGCCTAAAATTATGCTCGAGAAGTAGCATAATGCTCGACTGATCTTGGTTATATTTGACGTCCTTTTCCATCGCTGCAGACAAAACATACCCCCATAAGTAAAAACACAAGATTTTATTGCATCAATTACAACTTTACAAGCAATAAACAACAAATATTGCTCAAAAGCACCCAAAATGTCTTATTTCAACGGAACTCTCCATCGTTAGTATACTCTAGCTCTGATTAGTTCGCTAGTGGGCACAGAATTCTGCAATGTAAATCTATCTCTTACTAAATTGGAGCATCAATGGGCGCTCAACGTGGTCAAGTATAGGATTGAAGATCCCGCTGCAAATGACCAAATGTCTTGGTCAAAATAGGAGGACTCTCTCAGATAAGTCCGACGAAGGCTGCATCTGTAGAACAAGCCAACTTAGCCGCTGTAAACCAAAACGGGAGATCAGCTTCATTTGCCTTCCACCATCCAAAGGGGTCAACGTCATCGACTATACCATCTGCCCTCGCAATGTATCTGGGAAGCTCGTTCTTCAGGTTTTCGAAATATCAGGGTGGCGTCATTTACATGTAGGAAAACTTAAAATCCTTACTAAAATCCTTAAAATCCTTACTAAAAGTACTTGAAAGTGAAAATTTCTCATTACAGTTATGGAAATATCTTTTTTAATTATTGTTATTATTAGTGGTATTATTATTATTATTCACTTCATGTGAAAAATGAAAAATGTCCATTATGCCAGCATTATGCTCGATGTTCCGAATATAGCATTATGCCCAAAATTATGCCCGCATAACCCTACCCATTAGGGGAGTAGTCAATTAAGACATCATTTTCCTACTGATATTAATTTCTTCCCATCGGTGACGTAAGCTCAAGGCCTTATACTTCCCATGGGGCAATGAGGACAGATGAAGACGTAAGCTTGATGTCCTATGCTGCATCCAAAACATTTATTGTGCACCGACATTTTCACTACGAGTTAATTTGCAAGACTACGACTGACAAAACAAATAACGAAAGCGATCGAAATCGTCCTTTTCGCTAAGAATTTTTTGGCGTAAAGCTGATCTGTATTAAAGTAATGATATCGACTTTTCGCAAGACTGAGAAAAATAAATCTTTCTTTCTTGATTCTAATCGGGATTTGTCTTTCTGTGTCGTTTTGGCTAATAACGGTTTCAACAGGTTTTCTTTATCTCTTACAGGATAGCAAAGACCAGATCATGACGAGCAACATTTGGGTCAGACAGGTATTGTTTCTATTAAGTTTGTTTAACTACTGCTATCTTTTCTAATTGATATGTACCGTAAAAGTTCTAGTAAGGCCACAACCCTCTCTCTTTTAAGTACCCCTGTTAAAGAAGCCAACTCTTGAACCCACCTCATCTTAAGCTTCAGTTTTTATTTTAATACTCCTTTCTCCCATTTGATTGCCCAATTTGTTTTATGTTATTCATTTAGTTTTGGACGAACTACAGACTTGCCTGGGATCCAGCTGAGTTTGGTGGAATCGAAATCATCAACATCAGTCCAAAGATTGTTTGGAAGCCTGATATTCTTCTTTACAACAAGTAAGATACACAACTCATGTACCTGTATTGTCGTCCATCTGTGGTCTGTGTAACACTATCTTTCAAACTATCACTTAAAACAGTTACTGTCCCAAATTTCGTCGTCAGTTAGGTTCGACAATTTGGTGTTTAATCAACAGAGCATCCCTCTTTGCATCATTTTTCATATTCTCTTTCACCTTTGTTCCTTTCAACCTATAACATTACAAAGGAGAAGTAAGACGATGATCGCACAGGAGGAAAATCCTGAACCCTGAAGTTCAGAGCAGATCATATTTTACTGCAACGTACTGATCATCGTCTTATCAGGGTCGATCGGGACCACTCAATCATTTATCCGCATCACTGAAGAATCTTGATCTTCACTCCAGTCTACAATTTGTCCGTTAGGCAGTCGGTCAATCAATCAGTCTGTTGGTAAGCTACTTGGCTTGATCAGTCAGTTGACCAGTCTAAGCTAATCCATCAGTTAGTCGATCAACCAATCAGTCCTTCTGTCTGACTGTCTGTCTGTCAGTCAGTTACTTGGTCAATCCGTCCGTCAGTCAGTCAGTCAGTCAGTCAGTCTGTCAGTCTGTCTGTCTGTCTGTCTGTCTGTCTGTCTGTGTCTGTCTGTTAGTCAGTCCGAATTTCAGACCCAGACAAAAGCAGTCTCCAACCAAGTGATGCAGTGCCTACTCTGTTAACCGAATCATTCTCAACATCTCAATCAATTATCTGTCTAGTCGTCTGTGTGCTTCACTAGTTAGTCCATTAGCCGGTTGGTCGAATAGTCGTCACTTGGTCAGGTAGTCAGTCAATCGATCACTCAGTCCACCTTAGTCTGTCAGTCATTCGATCGATCAGTTCATTCGTTCATGCGTTCGTCCGTCAGCCAGCCCCTGCGAGACAGTCAGTCAGGCAGTCAATCACCTAATCTCTGTCTTGCTGGCTATCTTTACATCTGTCTCTCTGTCTGTCAGTGAGACTCATACAGTCAAAACACTCACTCACCCAGTCACTTCGTCGTTCGTGTTATACGATAGCCTGTAAAGTAGGCACTTGTGTCTCGTGAACTCTTTCTGAAGCTTTTTCGTGTTCTTTCAGTATAAACGGCGTCGGAGGAGAGATGTACAACTTCGACACCAAAGTAATCTTGCATCACGATGGTCGAAACGAATGGTTTGCGCCGACGGAAATAAAATCCATTTGCAAGATTGACATAACGTTCTTTCCGTTTGACGAGCAAACATGCTTACTCACGTTCGGTTCATGGACCTACAACGGTCAGTACTTGGATCTGGCTCTTAAGAGCAATACCGCTGACTTAAAAAAGTACACCCGAAATGGTCAGTGGACATTGGTTTCCGTCAACGCCACAAAAAACGTCGTTAAATACAGCTGTTGCAAATATCCTTATGTCGACATAACTTTTAGCGTTCACATTCGACGACGGCCGTTGTTTTACGTTCAGAATTTGATTCTACCATGTATTTTGCTGGCTACTTTGACAGTGTTCTCTTTCTCGTTGCCTCCGGGTTCTGGAGAAAGAATCGCTCTTGTGATCACTCTCTTGCTTGGCCTTACTGTCTACATGCTGATCTTCACGGAAAACATTCCTCAAACATCAGAAGTTGTGCCACTGATCAGCAAGTTTTTCATCGTAATCCTGTTTGAGGTTGCCTTCTGTTTGATGGGAACGTCGATTACCCTAAGGCTTTACCACTACAGTGAACCTGATAGAAAGATTACGCCATGGGTGAAAGTGCTCATATTTGGCTGCTTGGCGAAGCTTTTGAGAATGAAGATGAAGTCGTATTCAGCTGAGCCGCGAGACAACGGCAGCATGTCGAGATCAAAGTCTAAGATGAGGAGCGAGTTTTTTCATCGGCTTCTAGGGTGTAGAGAAGGTGGTACCAAATCCCTGAATGACACTAGAATGCAGGTAACGCAAATCTGTGCAGAGGACTCTCTCTGTCTAGAGGAACACCTGGACGAAATGACGGACAAAATGGGCGATATTCATGGCCGTATGGTGACCGACAAAAACAACGACGTGGGAAACAAAGAGAAGTGGCATTTTGCCGCGTCCGTGATTGACAGGCTTTTCTTCTACCTTTCTGGCCTGGCTATTTGTCTATCTGTGATCATTTTCTATCTGATGATTCCACGCTACGAAGGGGGGAAAGAATTTCAAGACTTTGAACAATGACCGATTAGACACAGAACTCTGAGAGACATCTTCAATGGAACATTGGCTTGTTAGTGGGAGAAACGTTAGTTTCTAAATTGTGTTACGTTAAACACTTAGTTGACTTTCATGCGGAAGCTGATGTTTCGAGAGCTAGCCAGTCAGCGGGCTCGTCCCTGGAAAAGTGAATAGGAGGCTCACTTCCCATATCTCTTGCCTGCTGAGTGGTGAGCCTGCCTGGATCTTATTCTCGAGTTAGCCTTTCTTTCACGAACATGAAGTAAGGAGCTACACTGACGGAGGAAAGACGGTAACGAGAGACACGAACATGTAAATCAGTGGAACGCGCGGCTTTCGTAGAGGACTAAGGCGCCGATTTGAAAGTTAAGTCTATTTTTCGAAGGTTTGCGTCTTTTAGTGTTGACTTTACTTTAACAGTTCACTTGACGCTCAGTGATGATCAGGAGAACGACTACAAACAACGAAGGTGCTAACGCTCGAAGTATCAGCTTTCCAAATTCGCCATGGCAGTAAATTTACGTTTTCTTCTTCAAACTGATTATTGCATGAGTATGGCTTGTGACATCCTTTGCGGCTGGATTATGCAGTTTATGTCAAAATAGATTAAGGCAAGCGGGTGTCACTGGTAGATGTTTTGAATTCGCGGTTTCCTTGTTAACGTTTGAGCAACATAAATATTTATGAACTTCAGGAGTTGTTGAGCATCTGTTCCAAGAGTGAGTGGATTATTCTTTGAAGTGAAGGCGTTCTAAGCAACTGGCAATTATTTTGTTTAAGGCTCTCCATAATCCTTCTCCGACTAGTTTGAATACATGTAATTCTCTTTAAGTCTACATCTAGTGTTCACTCACATAATCTAAGAAATTCGAAATGCAACTTCTTCGTTCCTAGAACGATTACTGAAGCAGGCAAACGAAGTTTTCAATATCGCGGTTCTGTTCTCTCAGTTTGCCTTTGAGCGCTAAGATACAACCAACTCTTAGCTCTCTTAAATCATTTATATAATCGAGATTAAATTTACTAGTAACGATACTAATTAGTAATAAAGGATAGTTTTTTCAATAGCTTTTAAAACAATTCTGTACAGATAGATAATTTAATTAGTTTAGTAAACACGGCTCGATGGAAGAGCATGTTAATATGCTCTCTCCACGCTAAAACGTTCATAAACGCTGATACGCTATGAGAAAACTCCACAACCGTCATTCGTGCATGTGACGTGATGTCAACGTTCCCGAAAGCCTCCTTTTTTTGCTGTCCTCATTGATAATGTAGGACTGACTCCGTGTTCAGATGTCTCCACTCTGGACACCGATGAGTAGTTTCTATCGTATCAGAGTCGACGGTGGGTGAAATGCATCCAAAAGCATGCGTTTTCAAAAGAAAAGGCATTAGTACTTGTGGACATGGCCTTCAAGTGTATAATGTCTTTTTTTACCCTGCAGTGAGCCCTTTGTATTAATTGGTCACATGGTGCAGAAACCGCCACGCTGGATGGTAAGAGAATGAGACAGTCTTCAAAACAAAGCTTCGACTTCAACCATTCGCGCTTGAGTTTTAAGTTAGATCTCCCATTGCGTAGCTCACCTTGCAGACAAGTATCCCTGGCAGATCTCGAGAGTTGAGGAAGCTCATTACCAGAGAAAAATAGTCTTGATTTGTTTGTTATATAAACCATTATCTTTCATATTTTCACTTGCATAAACCAATTCTGTCCGCCATGAAACAGCGCAATCTGCTTGAGTGCTCGGCTAACTTACGACTACCAGATCATAAAGGAGTTCTATTAGAAAAAATTTTCTCGTTTGATGTCAGATCTAACATACTCAACGTTTGCATGTTTGAACGCATTGATGATATTCAATGAGAATTGGAGAAAACACTCGTCCAACTCGTCTTGTGGTACTCTAGCGCTCAAGACCTCACTAAATCAGGGTCCCTTTGACTACTGGGCGCTAGCAAACTAATCATGCAATGACGATTTCAAATTCTTACAGAGATTACAATAACAAGGTACGGGGCTCTCTCTTGTCTTTTGTAATTCGCTTCAATGGTCGGCTTTCTGTAGGATAGCTTTTGCCGGAAAGACGCCGACTGGGTGACTTTGTTTAGACAGACATCTTTAGTTCTGGAACGCGTGTCTTGCCCTTGGACGGACTGGCCTTAACTCGATTCACCTGGTGTCGCTTTGTATCTAATTAACACGAGCATACAGCGTAAACGTTCGTAAACAAGTCTTTCGTGACTTTATCCTTGTAAACGTGAGGCAATTATGATAATTTTGTCTATTTTTCGTGCAGTTCTCGACTGAAATATTCTGCATAAACAGCTGGTAGCTTTCAATCCTTTTTGTTAGTGATATGAAGAGAGAGATTGCCCTAGCCTCTTTATACTGTATTATACTTTGTAATACAGCTGTTCTAGAGTCAGTGAACATGTTACTCCAGTCTTGGAGAATGAAATCAGGGTGTTTGGGGCCTGAGGAAGACGTGATATGCTGCAATAACCGGTCAACTTACTGCCTTTTATTAGTAGGTCAGCAAGATGTTTTTCTGATTTTTTGCTCTTTATTCTCTCTGATCCGGCGCGAACTCAAGCTTTCGTGGTAACTACATGATTCAAGTCGTATTAAAAGAGGAGGTCAAGTTGACTTTCTATTTGCCAACGCCTAATGTATACATGTTCCCAATTATATGCGTCCATACTGTTGAAATGTAGAAAGTGACAAAAAACATTGGCGATCGTAACACTGAATTGGCGAATTCAAAACATGTAACAAGGGCAACTTATGAAAAAGAACTTTACTCCAGAAAATGTTTGCATGTCTTGTGCCTCATTGTACCAAAAGCGTAAAGTTGTATGGAAGCGCTGTCAATTATTCCATTATTTTTAAGTGGTTCAGCAATCTAGAGTATGTTTTGTTTATTGAATTCTGAGTCCCACTTAAATAATACAATCAGTCTTGTTTTTGATTACAATTGTTGATCTCACGAATGAATGGGATGGATAGACTAGCGTACTTTTATAAAGTAACAATGATTTCACTTCTTGTTGTTCGCGATGGACAAAGCGTACTTTTCATAAGAAACTCCACATCGCTTCAGGTCGCTTTTCAGATTATAAGAAAATCCACAAGTAAGCACATTGTGCATTTATCTGTGCATAATGGTATGAGACACGGGTTACCTCGCTGCTTCTATTGTTATAATAATACTATGTTACAATAGCTGACTACACAAAACAAGTAAGGAACAAGGTCAAGGTAATTGACGTACATTCGGTGCTTTTTAACACGGTAATTGTTTTGAATGGAAAAAATGTTTCCTAGTGCTGTTAATAACTGGTGCTTATTTACTCCTATGAGAAAACAAGAGTTCGTTTTTTTCCGAGATTTAGAGCAGGCGAAAGTTATTACTGTGTGAAAGTGGAAAATCAGATAATGTCATGCATTGTTATAGGCCACCCAATACAAAAGACAACTTTCAACTCGATTAAAGCATTCATTCATAAGGTTTTCAACGCCAAGAGCTAAAATCTTTTTTGTTAAGAGCTTAAATTCAAGGCCAACATAATTTAGTAGCTATAGGATTGATTTTCGTTTTTGTCACTTTCTTTTCGCCACAGTAAACGTAAAATAAAATCGTAAAATCACTTTCACTGCACTTCATCTATTATGCTGCATTTTGCTGGAGACTATTTCAAATATGCTCGATGTAAAGTCAGTCAAGCAAGCCCAGTCACCTTGACCGAGAAAACTGAAATCCGCGGTGACAAACAACTCTAAGTGTTTGTTACTTACTCATGCGTGAAATAGATTTTACACGTTTTTTAAATGTTAATATAGTCTTGAATTCCAACCTGAAGGCGTCCGGATTTCGCTAACATGATCCATGAGAATGGTTTTTTCGATTATAAATTCAACTTTTCAAGGAAGAAAATAAAAATTGACAAATTACGTCCAAAATTAATTAACTGACAAATGGTCCATGATACATGTTCTGAGAACAACAGCTCGTCAGTGTAACAAGTTGCTCCTGTCTTGGAGATTGAAATTAGGAAGATTAGGGTGTTTGGGGCTTAAAGAACGAAGACAAAGAACATGATGTAGTGTAATAACTAGGCAATTTACTGCCTTCTATTAGTTTTTGTGCCGTAACTGTACGATTCAAGTCGTATTAAAGGAAGGAGTCAGAATGACTTTCTATTTGCCAACGCCCTAATGCATACATGTCCCCAATTATATGCGTCCATAATGTTGAAATGTTGAAAGGGACGAGAATATATTTGACGATCAAAACAATCGGCGAATTCAACACGTGTAAAGCAGAGCTCCTAAACAAAAATGTGCTAAAAGACTTAAAACCGTTTGGAAGCGCTGTTAATTATTCCACTCTTTCCAAGTGGTTTAGCAATCTAGAGTATGTAGTGTTTATTGAATTGTGAGTCCCACTTAAATAATACAATCAATATTGTGTTGTTTTTGATGACATTTGTTGATCACAAATGAATGGGATGGATACAGTCCGCTATGGAGGAGCATACTTTTCTAAAGTAACAATGATTCAACTGACTTCGTTTTGTTCGCGATGGACAAAGCGTACTTTCCGTAAGAAGCTCCACATCGCTTCAGGTCGCTTTTCAGATTATAAGAAAATACATTAAGTAAGCGCACTGTGCATTTAGTTATCTGCACACAATCGAATGAGACAGGGTGTACCTCGCTGCTTCTATTGTTATAATAATACAATGTTACAATAGCTGACTACCAATAACAAGTTAATAACAAGGTCAAGGAATATCGATCGTATAATCGGTGCTTTTTAACTCGGTAATTATTTTGCATTAGTTCGAAAAATAACTGGTGCTTATTTACTCCTATGAGAGTGAGAGTTAACAAAAATATAACAATATATAATAAAATATAACAAAAAAACTTCTAGCCCGATTAAAGCGTTCTTCCTAAGGTTTTTAAGGTCAAGAGAAAATCTTGTTTGTTAAGAACTTAAATTCAAGGCCAACACAACGTAATCTAGTTGCTAAGACCTATCGCTTTTCCTGATTATTGATTTTCGTTTTTGTCACTTTCTTCTCGCCGCAGCCAACGTTTGTATTTTTCTTTGTAATAGATGCCTTTTCTTTGTATCGAAACTGAAGAAAAACAATTTCACTGCTCTTCATCTATTACGCCACATTTTGCTGGAGAGTTCGAACCTCTGTAGACTATTTCAAGTATGCTCGATGTAAAGTCAGTGAAGCAAGCCCAGTCACCTTGACCGAGACAACTGAAATCGGTGACAAACAACTCCAAGTGTTTGTGACGTGCTTACGCGTGAATGACACACCTCCTATGGAGGTCCAAATTTTTTATAATACAACACTGTCGCGTTTTCGTGATCTTTTCCATTGTACTTCGACGCCTTGTTTCCTTTGAACCAGAAAAACTGTGAGAAAATTAACAATATCACCAACTACAGATACTACCTATCCAGTGTAAAATAGATTTTACACGTCTCACAGATGTTGATTTTGTCTTGGATCCTAGCCCGAAGCGCTGTCACAGATCGCCATCAAGACTGATCCATAAGATTGGTTGTACCTATTATGAATACAAGGAAGAAAAATAAACATGTTTGGCTATACTCTATAGATTTAAGTTTCCTAAGTTTAAATAGAAAGCTCCAGTGACTATAAACCACGGCAAATGCAGTTTGAAATGTCATTCAACTATAGTCACCTTGACCCACAGTTACATGGCTTGGAGAATGTGATAATGCAAAATTATATATTTTTTTTACTAAAAACCACCGTGGCGAAATATATTATTATGTAAATAACAGTGATAATAAAATAGTATACGCCTCAGTCCTGACTCTTTCTCGCATTTTTGACTAGTAGAAAAAACCTTGGTAACTGACACTATTTTACAGTATAGATGGTTTATTTGAGCAGTGCTTCTGAATCGTAGAGCTGAGCAATGAAGCGTGAGACATAACATTGCTAGGTCCCCCTTTTCAGCGAAGACGAGCGCAAGCACTGAAAGGTTTTGGACGTAAAGTGAGTCCAAAATGACTTTCCAAATCAACGCTACCTCCAGTGGCGCTGGAAAACTCAAAGTGCTGCAATAAACAAGCTAGCAGCAAAAAGATCTCTGCTTTAGCCAACGTGCCTCCAAGACAGCGACGACTTCCAATCGAAAAAGGCAGCTGGAACTTGGTCTTCTTTTGGCAGAGCTCTCCGTCCTCATTCAAGAATCTGTAAGGATTAAACACGTGTGGGTTCTCAAACACGCGAGGGTCATGATTCACTGCCCACAGATTGACAATGACTAGTGTGGCCTTTGGGATCGTGTACCCACATAGTTTTGTTTCCTCTGAGGTTTGATGAGGCAAAGCAAGTGGTACCAAGGAAGTAATGCGAAGAACCTCCAACACTGTAGCTTGTAGAAGAGGCATCTTTGGCTTATCTTGGATGGTAGGAAGGCGGAGCCGCCCAACAGCGCTATCCAACTCTCGATGCAGGCTTTGCTGAATCTTCGGGCTGTTTACGATGTAAGCCATGGCCCAGCTTAGGGCATTGGAAACCGTCTCCAGGCCAGCGCCAAACACGTCAGTTGATATCATTNGCATGCGTTTTCAAAAGAAAAGGCATTAGTACTTGTGGACATGGCCTTCAAGTGTATAATGTCTTTTTTTACCCTGCAGTGAGCCCTTTGTATTAATTGGTCACATGGTGCAGAAACCGCCACGCTGGATGGTAAGAGAATGAGACAGTCTTCAAAACAAAGCTTCGACTTCAACCATTCGCGCTTGAGTTTTAAGTTAGATCTCCCATTGCGTAGCTCACCTTGCAGACAAGTATCCCTGGCAGATCTCGAGAGTTGAGGAAGCTCATTACCAGAGAAAAATAGTCTTGATTTGTTTGTTATATAAACCATTATCTTTCATATTTTCACTTGCATAAACCAATTCTGTCCGCCATGAAACAGCGCAATCTGCTTGAGTGCTCGGCTAACTTACGACTACCAGATCATAAAGGAGTTCTATTAGAAAAAATTTTCTCGTTTGATGTCAGATCTAACATACTCAACGTTTGCATGTTTGAACGCATTGATGATATTCAATGAGAATTGGAGAAAACACTCGTCCAACTCGTCTTGTGGTACTCTAGCGCTCAAGACCTCACTAAATCAGGGTCCCTTTGACTACTGGGCGCTAGCAAACTAATCATGCAATGACGATTTCAAATTCTTACAGAGATTACAATAACAAGGTACGGGGCTCTCTCTTGTCTTTTGTAATTCGCTTCAATGGTCGGCTTTCTGTAGGATAGCTTTTGCCGGAAAGACGCCGACTGGGTGACTTTGTTTAGACAGACATCTTTAGTTCTGGAACGCGTGTCTTGCCCTTGGACGGACTGGCCTTAACTCGATTCACCTGGTGTCGCTTTGTATCTAATTAACACGAGCATACAGCGTAAACGTTCGTAAACAAGTCTTTCGTGACTTTATCCTTGTAAACGTGAGGCAATTATGATAATTTTGTCTATTTTTCGTGCAGTTCTCGACTGAAATATTCTGCATAAACAGCTGGTAGCTTTCAATCCTTTTTGTTAGTGATATGAAGAGAGAGATTGCCCTAGCCTCTTTATACTGTATTATACTTTGTAATACAGCTGTTCTAGAGTCAGTGAACATGTTACTCCAGTCTTGGAGAATGAAATCAGGGTGTTTGGGGCCTGAGGAAGACGTGATATGCTGCAATAACCGGTCAACTTACTGCCTTTTATTAGTAGGTCAGCAAGATGTTTTTCTGATTTTTTGCTCTTTATTCTCTCTGATCCGGCGCGAACTCAAGCTTTCGTGGTAACTACATGATTCAAGTCGTATTAAAAGAGGAGGTCAAGTTGACTTTCTATTTGCCAACGCCTAATGTATACATGTTCCCAATTATATGCGTCCATACTGTTGAAATGTAGAAAGTGACAAAAAACATTGGCGATCGTAACACTGAATTGGCGAATTCAAAACATGTAACAAGGGCAACTTATGAAAAAGAACTTTACTCCAGAAAATGTTTGCATGTCTTGTGCCTCATTGTACCAAAAGCGTAAAGTTGTATGGAAGCGCTGTCAATTATTCCATTATTTTTAAGTGGTTCAGCAATCTAGAGTATGTTTTGTTTATTGAATTCTGAGTCCCACTTAAATAATACAATCAGTCTTGTTTTTGATTACAATTGTTGATCTCACGAATGAATGGGATGGATAGACTAGCGTACTTTTATAAAGTAACAATGATTTCACTTCTTGTTGTTCGCGATGGACAAAGCGTACTTTTCATAAGAAACTCCACATCGCTTCAGGTCGCTTTTCAGATTATAAGAAAATCCACAAGTAAGCACATTGTGCATTTATCTGTGCATAATGGTATGAGACACGGGTTACCTCGCTGCTTCTATTGTTATAATAATACTATGTTACAATAGCTGACTACACAAAACAAGTAAGGAACAAGGTCAAGGTAATTGACGTACATTCGGTGCTTTTTAACACGGTAATTGTTTTGAATGGAAAAAATGTTTCCTAGTGCTGTTAATAACTGGTGCTTATTTACTCCTATGAGAAAACAAGAGTTCGTTTTTTTCCGAGATTTAGAGCAGGCGAAAGTTATTACTGTGTGAAAGTGGAAAATCAGATAATGTCATGCATTGTTATAGGCCACCCAATACAAAAGACAACTTTCAACTCGATTAAAGCATTCATTCATAAGGTTTTCAACGCCAAGAGCTAAAATCTTTTTTGTTAAGAGCTTAAATTCAAGGCCAACATAATTTAGTAGCTATAGGATTGATTTTCGTTTTTGTCACTTTCTTTTCGCCACAGTAAACGTAAAATAAAATCGTAAAATCACTTTCACTGCACTTCATCTATTATGCTGCATTTTGCTGGAGACTATTTCAAATATGCTCGATGTAAAGTCAGTCAAGCAAGCCCAGTCACCTTGACCGAGAAAACTGAAATCCGCGGTGACAAACAACTCTAAGTGTTTGTTACTTACTCATGCGTGAAATAGATTTTACACGTTTTTTAAATGTTAATATAGTCTTGAATTCCAACCTGAAGGCGTCCGGATTTCGCTAACATGATCCATGAGAATGGTTTTTTCGATTATAAATTCAACTTTTCAAGGAAGAAAATAAAAATTGACAAATTACGTCCAAAATTAATTAACTGACAAATGGTCCATGATACATGTTCTGAGAACAACAGCTCGTCAGTGTAACAAGTTGCTCCTGTCTTGGAGATTGAAATTAGGAAGATTAGGGTGTTTGGGGCTTAAAGAACGAAGACAAAGAACATGATGTAGTGTAATAACTAGGCAATTTACTGCCTTCTATTAGTTTTTGTGCCGTAACTGTACGATTCAAGTCGTATTAAAGGAAGGAGTCAGAATGACTTTCTATTTGCCAACGCCCTAATGCATACATGTCCCCAATTATATGCGTCCATAATGTTGAAATGTTGAAAGGGACGAGAATATATTTGACGATCAAAACAATCGGCGAATTCAACACGTGTAAAGCAGAGCTCCTAAACAAAAATGTGCTAAAAGACTTAAAACCGTTTGGAAGCGCTGTTAATTATTCCACTCTTTCCAAGTGGTTTAGCAATCTAGAGTATGTAGTGTTTATTGAATTGTGAGTCCCACTTAAATAATACAATCAATATTGTGTTGTTTTTGATGACATTTGTTGATCACAAATGAATGGGATGGATACAGTCCGCTATGGAGGAGCATACTTTTCTAAAGTAACAATGATTCAACTGACTTCGTTTTGTTCGCGATGGACAAAGCGTACTTTCCGTAAGAAGCTCCACATCGCTTCAGGTCGCTTTTCAGATTATAAGAAAATACATTAAGTAAGCGCACTGTGCATTTAGTTATCTGCACACAATCGAATGAGACAGGGTGTACCTCGCTGCTTCTATTGTTATAATAATACAATGTTACAATAGCTGACTACCAATAACAAGTTAATAACAAGGTCAAGGAATATCGATCGTATAATCGGTGCTTTTTAACTCGGTAATTATTTTGCATTAGTTCGAAAAATAACTGGTGCTTATTTACTCCTATGAGAGTGAGAGTTAACAAAAATATAACAATATATAATAAAATATAACAAAAAAACTTCTAGCCCGATTAAAGCGTTCTTCCTAAGGTTTTTAAGGTCAAGAGAAAATCTTGTTTGTTAAGAACTTAAATTCAAGGCCAACACAACGTAATCTAGTTGCTAAGACCTATCGCTTTTCCTGATTATTGATTTTCGTTTTTGTCACTTTCTTCTCGCCGCAGCCAACGTTTGTATTTTTCTTTGTAATAGATGCCTTTTCTTTGTATCGAAACTGAAGAAAAACAATTTCACTGCTCTTCATCTATTACGCCACATTTTGCTGGAGAGTTCGAACCTCTGTAGACTATTTCAAGTATGCTCGATGTAAAGTCAGTGAAGCAAGCCCAGTCACCTTGACCGAGACAACTGAAATCGGTGACAAACAACTCCAAGTGTTTGTGACGTGCTTACGCGTGAATGACACACCTCCTATGGAGGTCCAAATTTTTTATAATACAACACTGTCGCGTTTTCGTGATCTTTTCCATTGTACTTCGACGCCTTGTTTCCTTTGAACCAGAAAAACTGTGAGAAAATTAACAATATCACCAACTACAGATACTACCTATCCAGTGTAAAATAGATTTTACACGTCTCACAGATGTTGATTTTGTCTTGGATCCTAGCCCGAAGCGCTGTCACAGATCGCCATCAAGACTGATCCATAAGATTGGTTGTACCTATTATGAATACAAGGAAGAAAAATAAACATGTTTGGCTATACTCTATAGATTTAAGTTTCCTAAGTTTAAATAGAAAGCTCCAGTGACTATAAACCACGGCAAATGCAGTTTGAAATGTCATTCAACTATAGTCACCTTGACCCACAGTTACATGGCTTGGAGAATGTGATAATGCAAAATTATATATTTTTTTTACTAAAAACCACCGTGGCGAAATATATTATTATGTAAATAACAGTGATAATAAAATAGTATACGCCTCAGTCCTGACTCTTTCTCGCATTTTTGACTAGTAGAAAAAACCTTGGTAACTGACACTATTTTACAGTATAGATGGTTTATTTGAGCAGTGCTTCTGAATCGTAGAGCTGAGCAATGAAGCGTGAGACATAACATTGCTAGGTCCCCCTTTTCAGCGAAGACGAGCGCAAGCACTGAAAGGTTTTGGACGTAAAGTGAGTCCAAAATGACTTTCCAAATCAACGCTACCTCCAGTGGCGCTGGAAAACTCAAAGTGCTGCAATAAACAAGCTAGCAGCAAAAAGATCTCTGCTTTAGCCAACGTGCCTCCAAGACAGCGACGACTTCCAATCGAAAAAGGCAGCTGGAACTTGGTCTTCTTTTGGCAGAGCTCTCCGTCCTCATTCAAGAATCTGTAAGGATTAAACACGTGTGGGTTCTCAAACACGCGAGGGTCATGATTCACTGCCCACAGATTGACAATGACTAGTGTGGCCTTTGGGATCGTGTACCCACATAGTTTTGTTTCCTCTGAGGTTTGATGAGGCAAAGCAAGTGGTACCAAGGAAGTAATGCGAAGAACCTCCAACACTGTAGCTTGTAGAAGAGGCATCTTTGGCTTATCTTGGATGGTAGGAAGGCGGAGCCGCCCAACAGCGCTATCCAACTCTCGATGCAGGCTTTGCTGAATCTTCGGGCTGTTTACGATGTAAGCCATGGCCCAGCTTAGGGCATTGGAAACCGTCTCCAGGCCAGCGCCAAACACGTCAGTTGATATCATTTTGACAATTTCCTCGTCGCCATTGTCGACTGGTTTGCCTTTTGGTGATGAATAGGAAAGATCGCTTGGTTCTTCCACCTCTAAATTCATGTTTACGTCCTCGTTAGGTTTCCTCTTTGCCTTTTCTTCCCAGAGCTTCGTGACGCAAAATGCAATACAAGAGTCATTCGCAGCTTTCTGTTTACGGGAAGTGTACACCTTGTCCACGAAATCAATCAGCACTTCCACTGAGTGTTCCACTGTAGCAATCTGCTTCCGAACAAAGGGTTTAACCCAAGGAAGAAAATCCACTAGACCGCTAGCAGCACTGCTTTCGGTAAATTCGTCAGAGTCGACTACAAGTTTTTGCAGCTCCTTCGAGAGCTGCTGATTACGAGGCCCCTCTCCGAAAGTGAAGTTAAAGATAATTTTTATAACAGCTAACTTAAGGTGAATGGACGGCTTGAAGGTTTGCACTTCTTTGTTGACCAGGTCTGCTTTGAAATCCAGAAATGCATCGTGAACGATTTTGTTGAAATGTCCCATGTTGTTGAGCACAACTTGGTGAATTGCTTTTAAGGCGCACCTCTTCTTGAGAACATGAGCGGGGCAGTATTCTCCGAAGACAATGCTGAATTTCCGAACTTCTCGTATTGCAGACGCGGACATCGGTGGTCGATCGGAGAATTGTCGAGAGTTTTGTAACAGGGCTTGTCTAACCACCTCTCCGCTGTTTAAAACAACTGCTTCCCGTGAACCAAGCCTCACGGAAAACATATCTCCGTAGACCTTGCCAAGCTCGGTTAATGCAATGTGTGGCGTAGAACCAAGCTGAGGTAGATTTCCAAGAATAGGAAGGCCCCACGGCCCTGGTGGATAATTCAGTTTTCCTTCCCTTCCGTAAATAAGAAAACAAAAAAAAGTAAAGGAAAGTACCGGGAGTACCAGAAGCAGGATATCGGCTGTCGAATCTATCGGCAACATATTCTTGTTGGTTTTGCGACAGGGATGCGCCCCAATGCCAAGTTTACGCGACGCACGGATGCGAACGGGAATGTGTGCGTGTTGTATCAGCGGATAGTACTGTTATCGCTATTGAAACTAATCAAGTGTGAGACACAAACAATGGAAAAAAGCGGCTCTTTCTCTCATTGCCAAGGTCAGACTATTTGTTCCAATTGCAAAAGTGATCAATGCGGCATGCTTGAATACGGAACACTGAAAGAATTAACTAACAATGGCTTGTTCTTCTAGCTTAATCCACCGTACATTCTGACCTAGGAACTCTCATTATTTCAACTGTGATTTCTGTGATTTATAAACACTTCTTAACTGATTTTTCCAATAGAAGTAAATGCATTGTCAAGGACACACATTGAAAGAATAAAGAATGGTACCTTGGATGGTTGATGAGAACAGTAAAGATAAGTGAAATTTTAAGCTTGCGAGTGAGAGAGGGCCGGGGGGGGGGG